CTACACTGAACAAGATAGTTAAATACAAAGTGGGTAGTAAATTTGACAAAATGGGCAGTAGAATTAACATAGTGTAAAGTACGATTTGGGCAAAATAGGCGGTAAAATTGTACAAGATGAGCTTTTTCTTATCACATATTTTTCAAACTGAACTATTTTTCAGTCTATGTATTTCGGATGGATATCCATCCGAGATATTTTAGAATATCTGGATATTTAACGCAACTGCACAAAGCCAGGGCTGTGTGCATCGCACATATAATCTACGGTATGTCGCTACACGTAAAATACAGACACAGTGTGACTGTGTACGTGCGACAATTGATACACATATACGTCGCGACATACCGTAGATTCTATTTGCGACGCACACAGCTCTGGCGCTGTGCAGTTGCGTTGAATATCCAGATATTCTAAAATATCTCGGATGGATATCCATCCGAAATACATAGACTGCTATTTTTAAACACTAGCATATCGCTTGTACATTCACAAACTAAGTAATGATAGCAATATGAATGATATATTTTTGCCGCTGTCGTTGTTTTGTTGTTGTTAGTGATTGAATGGTACTCATAAATTTGCTTGTTCGATTGAAAAAGTTTTATGTTTTTTTTTCTTCATATTGCTTTGTTTCGGTTTCAATCTGAAATAACACAAACAATTGATAAGATTGAATAAATTGTTAATCTGTGCAAAAGCACAGCGGAACACTTTCGTTGTGGCATTCATCACAATAGAGAGCTTATCAATATATTTATTCAGAATCAATCAACAAGAAATCAAATATTTAAACAGAGTATCGATTAGTTGATTTATGACCATAGGTTCTGACATAGTTCGCATAGGTCGCATTGACCCTCCCCTAGAGTCCGAGGACCCCTTCTGGAATTTTGAGAAAATACTCGATTTTCCTAGGGTTTTCACTAGGAATAAAATTATTCCATTTTGCTAGAGATTTTCGAGGCCGAGCTCTCGAACTATACCTCCTCCATCAAAGACATACTACAAGAGAAAAATGTATTCAATTTTGCTAGAGATTTTCGTAATTTCAAAAATAATACATTTTGCTAGGGTTTTTGAGTTTTTCAGAGCGGGGACCCCCCGATGATTTTCGGCCGTGACCCCCTCCTGAATTTACTATTGTCAGAGCCTATGTTTATGACCCTTGAAAAATGCTCCCAAATAATTGTAACTTACAATCTGTAAGTCTAATACGTTCAAAATTCAATGTAGAATCTACTAAATAGCCCAGCGGGACCAAATAGCTTTCTTACTGCACAAACTGGCATAATAAAAATTCCATATGACCGTTCAAATAATGTCAAAACGATATACAAACGATGTTGATAATAATAAATGATATTTTCCTATTTTTCGAGAATACAGGCTATTTGAATGTTAATTTGCTAATATAGTAATTTCTATAATATTTCGCATGCATGAATAATATTTACATTGTATCCAAAGATTCTTTAAGAAATAAATAGATGTAAATATGCCGCAAAGCACATCTAACATCAATGAATATGATTAGGACAAACAACCATAGATTCTGGAGATGACGATTTAAGGGAGGGGTAATCGGCAAAAAGATGCTAAAAACCCCTAGGAAAATTGATTTTTTTTTTAACGAGTATGGAAAACCCTAGGAAAATTGAATAGTTTTTACGCTCGAGGGGAGGGTATTTTGTACCCCGGACCCCCTAGTCAGAATCTATGCAAACAACTGTGATAAAAGTGTGAAACAGAAACAAATGAGAAGAGTGAAAAGGGAGACGAACCAAAAAAAAAAAATAAAATAAAATAAAAAGCAAACATTGAAATGTATGTAACAACATGAAAATAAAGTTGAAGTTGTTTAGTTATCTTCTTTAGTTCCTTAGATGTGACGAACAAGAAGAAGATCTCAAATGTTTAATGGCATGCTGAAACAGTTTACTTTAAATATTATCGCATGTTTGTTGCTTTCATTGCCTTTGATAGAGGGGTCATCATTGCCGGTAGGGAAGAAAATTCAAATCTGTAGAAAGATTGTTAGTCAACCGCATGCTTTCTACCACCATACATATAAATATGGTATTTTCGCATCAAAACAGCGTCGTCATAATATTAAAAAAGAATTTTCTCCCAGAAATATATGAATGAAGAAAAGAAAAAGCACCGCACAAAAGCCGAAAAACAAATTGAAGACGCAAAGAGATATAGTGCGATTGAACAGACGAAAAACCCGAAAAAAATGTCGATGCAAAGAGAGCAGGAGAGAAAAAGCTTCAAAGAGAATATGAGATAAACAATGAGACATTGCTAAGATAACAAACAAACATACAATAAAGAAGAGAAAAAGTGCGACAACACTCTCGACGCTAACAAACCGAAATAAAAACCACCAAAAAATCATATCACAACGCAATGTTATGTTCTATGCGCCTTTTTGGGCTGTTGATGAAAATGGGCAATATTATCGTAGAGATTACTCTGATATCTACCGCAAGAGACACTATATACCGTTGTAGTATAGAAATAATGGCAAACTCGAAACATCAAACCGTAGCTTTAACACGAGCACATTTATGGCAGATAAAATCAAATTCTCATAAAAAATTGTGTTTTAACTCTCACATTGCTCTGAATACTTTGCATTCCGTCAAACATGTTTGAACTGATTCGCGCGCATTCGTTCAATTTTATATGGCCGCTTTTATTTCATTCCTGATCTCATTGGATATGAACGAATGCGTTCGAGACCAGAGATCAAAAATGGTTTTGCTTTTAAGAACCGAACCATGAAGTTTTCACTCTCATTTCGACATTTATTCTACTGTCGTCAATCATATATAGTAATATAGTAATATCACCCACCCAAAAATATTATTATTATAACATGACCCAGAAAAGAATAAAACGAGAAAGAGAACAAAACAAAATAAAATCCACGCAAATAAATCGAACGAAATCCCAGTCGATTGCACAAACAATCCAAATGACCAACATAATTTTCATTATCCTAAATAATCTAAGCAATTGAACTGTCGGCATTCGTTGCTGAGAAAGGAAATTATTTGAAGATGTCTCAATTTCGTTGTATGAAAAAAAAACACCTCCAATTATATAAACAGATGCATACAGACAACAACAAAAAATTAATTTTCATGTGGAATCAATATCAAGAGGATTCGGATCGCAACAAACGGATATACGATAAAACACCCAATAATGTTGTCAAAATTTATTTTCGTTTATATCTCGTAAATATGAATTGCAGCATCATCATGTCTTCATTGTACAACGTTCATTCTTCCATTCATTCTATCGCAGAAACACGAGATAGACTGTGAAGTAAACGCATAATTCATACAAAGAGATTACAAAGAGATGGAAAGGCACACACACACACACACACACAGAGAGAGAGAGAGAGAGAGAGAGAGAGAGAGAGAGAGAGAGAGAGAGAGAGAGAGAGA